TTCATTGTTCTTATGTGGTCTTTGTTTTCCTGTTATATGTTTTTAATTTTGAACTTTTGTTAATCACCCAGAGAGCCTTTGGGTATTCAGCCATATAAAAATGAAATAAATACATAAAAATATAGAGAAGACAAAGTGGTATGCATTCCTACCACCATTTCCACTGATCTAAAGGATGCTGAATCAATAGTGATTGCAAAGAGAACTGGCCTCATAAGATCAGCTCAAGAGAAGATCCCCCACCCGCCATCACCAGGCCTTAGCATGCTATGAGGAGTATATGGCGCCCTCTGGTAACTCTAATGAGTGGTTCCTCCACCTCCCCAACCTTGACCTTACTTTTTTGGAGCAGGTAAAAAAGGTGGGGCAGACGTGTTAAATGCTCCTTCCCAAAAGTGTACGGTCACTGGTAGGGCCAGTCCAAGAGATTCCACTGCCTGAAGTGAAGGAAAAAATGGCACCCATCCCCAGTCCACAAACCGAAACTGCTAAGCTGGATCTTACTTCAGCACTGACAGTGAGGCAACCAGCTAGTTTACAGGGATTCTGGACAGGTGGCATGGCATGGTCTCTGCTGTTCAACAGAAGATAGCATATTTTGCCGAAGATTTGGTAAAGTTCTTGTCTCCCTCATATCAGAGGCTGTCAGAATCCTGTTCCCAGAAATGGGGGAGCAGTGGGTGGTAGGAAAAACTGCTTCAGTAAAGGAAACAGTTTTTTCTTACATCAAAAGGAGCCCTTGCCTTCAGAATGTTTGGGAAAGCAAGAGAAATTTAAGTCAGTTATCACTGGTGTTCTTAATAAGCTGAAGGCTGTTAGACCTTGACATGACTTCAAGAAACTCTCCTGGCTTTTGGACACTAGGAAAATTCACTGAATCCTTATAACCTCTTTGCCATTCCCTGGTAGAGGCCGTCCTAGACAAAGACATAACTGGTGTATACTGCCTTCTAGCTGGTAGCACTAGGCAGACTAAGCAGGCACAAATCAAGAGGAGGTTAGAAAGCTTATCAAGCACCCTTAGGAAGGTTACAAAGGTATATTTGTTTTTATCATTGGAAATGTAAACTGCACAGAAAGCCCCATGGGCTATGGGTGTGGTATAGAAGTGGAATAATAATAAGAAAAAGTTTATTGTTGAAATGAGAACTGATTGATCTGATTCACACAACATGATAGCCTATGGGTTAAACAACCCATGTGCTGTGGTGCCTGAACCGGGGAGAGTGGTCTTGTTGCGCCCCATAAGCCTGCCACTGTTGCTTTTCATCAGCAACCAGTACACAGCACCTTGGAGGTTGCTTAGCGTGGCATCTGAACACAAACACTGAGTTGTTCAGGGGCTAAAACACTCAATGGTTAACCCAACAACAAGCCATGGTTAGCCACTCTGGGACACTCCGGGACAGAACAACACATTAAGCAACTTAAGAAGGAGACAATTGTGAGCTGTGAAATAAAAGCGGAAGAGGTGGGCATGCTGAAAACAGCACACTCACTCTCTCCTGCTCTTTTTTAACAACCCATGGGTTATGTAACTCATGGGATGTCATGTCATGCAAATCAGTCCAGGGTGTGTGTGCTGTCCATTGCAACCACCACACTACACCAGCACAGAGCTTTTGCCAATTAAAATGAGGAGCATCTCTACAGCTGAAAGTAGCATGTTGCACATGTATTTTGGGCTTTTTTGAATCCTCGCCACACAGACAAGCAGGTGGCTGGGCAAAGGGCTTAATGATACCATTCTTCATAACATGTTTTCTAGCCTCATGTAAATAGCCTGATATCCATCTATTGACACTACCTGTTATTCTCAGCACCATTAATACTGAACTGCTGGGAGCACTTACACAGCTAGGTACTTTAGTAGTCATTATGTAGTAATTAATTAGCATAATTAGCAGTAGTTTTAACTATTCTGGTACCTGGTGCACTGCCACGCTATCAAACAAGACCTCATCTTGGATTATAGCACCCCGAGGATTTTCACTTTTGCACCTGCAGAGTAGTTATTACCTTACCCTTTGTGAAAGCAGAAAAATAGTTAGTCAGCCAGAATGTCCATGATGCCTGAGAAAGATATAAATAATTCTGAATACACTGAGCATTCAGAAGCTTTGAATAGTATAAAGTGTGGATACCTGAGTCATATCAGGATCCTGTTTTGTGGAGTAAACACTTTTGGGTATGTTTCCTTTACATTGGTTACCAGTATGTTTTTGGGCTTAGTTTAAATCAGTCAAGCCCAGCTTGATGCTTCCAAAACATTTTGGACTAAAACTCCCAGCATTCCTGACCATTGCCCATGGTGACTGGGTCTGATGGGAGCTGAAGTTCACAACATTTGGAAGGCACCAGGTTAGGGAAGGCTTATTTCAGTTGATGATTATTGGCTGGAAAGCCTAACATGGTGTGGGTCCAGGAAATATGAATGAACATAAGAATAGCCCTGCTAGATCAGACAAATGGTCCACCCAGTCCAGCACTCCATACACAGTGGCAATCCAGCTGCCCACAGGATTCCTCAAGCAGGACGGCCACAAAACCTTCTCCTCATCACCTGGTGCAGACAGGCAATGCGCTCTTTTGGTAAAGGAGGTAGCACATAGCCTGCAAGGCTAGTAGCCACTGATAGCTTCCTTCTCCATGCAAGGCCATGTTTTCTTACATGAACTGGCCCAGGCACAACATTCATTATTAGAGGTCTTGCCCAGCTTCATGTTGCTATTGGAGTTGGCTGGGACATAGGATGCAGCCTTCCCTATAGTGATGGCCATGTTGTGGAATTCACTTTCCCAGAAGGCATGAGTAGTCTTTCCAATATTTGCTTCTAAATAGGCAGTAGGGACCTTTTTGCTCCAACACACTTTTGGTTCAGCTCCCGTCCTTCTAACCTGCCACCCTGTAAGCCCACGTCACTTTTATATCTCTGCTCTACTTTTTGCAAACTCTTTTTTGCTCTCATTTTATTTTATTATGTGCATACTATAGAGTATTCTAGCACCTGAGGGGCTTTGTATCAAAAGGCAGGATACAAATATTTTAAATATATAAAATAATATTTCATTGTATGCATGAGGCCTAACAATATGGATGCACCCAGCCAATATTTGTCCAAGAAATACAAATACAGGTTTTGTTGGGTTGTTTAATTAAAGGGCATTACAAGCAAAATTGTGCTATATAAAGCATTCTACAACTGCAATTCTACACTCATTTACCTGGGAATAAGTCCCGTTGAACTCACTTCTGGAATTACTTTTTGATTGGACACACACAGGATTACACTGAAAGTGGTTAACATGCAAGAATGCAGAAACAAAAACACCCGATTATGATAATCAGTTACCACTGCAGTTCACAGAAAAAGAAATTCTGTGGGTGACAAAGTGCTGAAGATTCTTTTTGAATAAAAGCTGACTTTCAGAAAAAGCCCTGAAATGGGGGCCAGGCCCCAACAGCCTCCACTGCCCTGTGGCGATAGCCTTACTTCAAATATATAGCCAACTTTGTTTGAAATCTTAGCACTCCAAAGCTCTGTGTATGTAAAGAGGACTTTGTAAGTTCATAAAAGTAACCTTCTATAATGTGGGGTCCTTTTATATATCTGTACAATGGAGAAAACAAAGACTTTGGAATTTACTCCATATTTTTTGAATACTAGAATTCTTTCTTCCCTTTTTGACCAAACGTTTGGCATTATTATCTGCCTTTTCTAAAGGAAGTAAATCAAAACTGCGTTGCTGTCTGCATTATTCATCTTTCTCGCTTTCTTGGCCCTTTCTGATAGAGTTGAAGGGCTCCTTGACTGCAATCTCATTCCATTTAGAGCAGAACGTCTCTTGCATTCAGCATGGCTAGGACCCAGGCAGAATTTGTTTGGAATGTTCTGCTGGGGTGACACTATCTCTTGGGTAACCTATGTATGAAGAATGGATATCTCTTTAAATAAAGTGTGCATTAGAGCCTTGCATTATGTTCTGTGAGAGAAAAACAAGGAAGTTAGGGTGCAATGCTGTATGTCCGTTCCATGGCAGAGTGGCTCTAGGATTTGGCAGGCAAGCGACCACACTGGAGGAATCCCAGATATGCTGCCTACCACAGGAACCCCTGTGGAACCCGTCAGAGATGCTGGCAGAACGGTCTGCAAATAGAGTGGTTTCCCTGTGAAAATACACTGGTGGAAGGACCACAGTGGTTGGGATGTGGGCAGCAGAAGAGAGGAGCTCAGTTATTTAGTATCCTTTCCCATAACTCCTTTAATCTGCAACCAGTTTCTCATCAATGATGCCAGTTCTTGACTTGGGGCAACACTTTTCCTCCTTTGCCTTCTCAGGGGGAAATTAGTCAGTGTGGAGAGCCATTGTGGTGTAGCGGTTAGAGTCTTGGACTGGGATTTAGGACACCCAGGTCCCCGTTTGGTCATGAGGCTCACTGGGCGATCTCGACTCTCGGGCTAACCTCACGGCTGTTGAGAGGTTAAAACAGAGAGGAGGAAGATGAAGAGGATTATGCGAGTCACCTTTGGTTTCTTGCAGGAAATGACAAGGAAAAAGCCTCCCCCCGCCGTGTCAGTCTTTCCCCGCTACACCATCATATAACTCTTACAGATAATCCACGGTGTGTTTACTGAGAAATAAGTCCAGCTAATTCAATGGATCTTACTTGGAAGTAGGTGCACAAAAGACTATAGCCTTAAGCAGGCATGTCTTTCCATCTAGTGATTACTACAAATGCTTGTACATGTATATGTATGATTTCTGTTTTAATCTCGTACCATTTTAGTAATTTCATTTTTGCAACAGCCTGTGGCTGGTACCAATACAACTGAGCTGTTCCTTTGGCACACAGAATCAGCCCTCAAATAGTCAATCACCATATGCATTAATCAAATATATCTGTTTACCTGAGTTCTATTATATTGTTTTGTTTACCCAGCCGTAACTAGAAACAGTGCTATACGGCCCCCTTCCACAATCATCCTGTTCTCCTTGTAGTCCCATCTTCAGGATATTCCGGCTCAGCCAGTAATTGAGGATGAAGCCACATTGGACCTTATGATATATGGCATTGCAGCACCCAAGGCCCATATCACCCTCTCAAACTCCCCTGGGACTGTCTCTGCCTGTGACAGGTAAGTTTCTGTGGTGCTCTTCACCCCTCAAATTCTGAAACTTTGCATGTCAAATGCCAGGTGCATTCTGCTGAAAGGTAGGCTGTAACGAGTAAGCAATCCGTCCTCCCTAGGCAGGGCACCCTCACTTGGGGTCCAACCTGCTTGATACAAGAGCCTTTTAATACTATCTGGGAGAGGATGCAGGAATGAGAAGAAGAAAAGCACCCCATCTTTTCTCCTGACGCCTTTCCTGGCTGTGCCATGCAGTGCTAAAGGGCTCAGGCCTTGAATCTCAACACTTCATTCTGTATAGCACATTCAGACTTGGTTTCTAGAGAGTGGAAAGACAAGAGGTGCTGTTTTTCTCCCCCTCTCCCCCACAAAAGTTTTATGAACTACTGGGGGGGCATATTACCCCCCACCTACTATGGTCTGGATGACGTCACAGTGATTGTCCTGCCCCTGGCATCATGTCACCCGCTTTTTCCTTATTCTCCTTTTTTCTTTACGCTGGGAAGAAGCATGGGCCTCTTCCTAATATGGAGAAAGGGACCCGGCTGCCCCACATTCCTGCTGCTGCCTCCGATCTGAGACAGGAGACAGCAGCAAAGAGGAGTAGCAGGTGTTGGGACTCACCTGTGCTGGAGAGAGCAGGCCAGCCTCCCTCCCTGCTGTTATCTTTGATCTGGAATTGAAGCCACACCTTGCAGCAACCTCAAGAGGCTGGAAATTTGGTAAATGTTCTACACCCCTGAACTCTGCAATGCAATCAAATGCCTAACAAGGACTTGCCATTGAGGACAACTGGGCATTTTCATTAGTACCAAATGAGAAGTGATACTAATTACTGATGTATGAATAGCCTGCATTTTTGCTATGCAAATATCAGAGTGAGCAATTTAAGGGTTGGGAAAGGGCAAGTTTATTCCTTTTCTCCCAGCCATGGCCTTCTTCTCCAAAGCTGTTATTTACATTTCAAGGGACATTTCCAGTGATACTGATCTCAGTCTAAACAGGAAATGTATTTTAAAAACTAGAGCTAGGATGCATTGCAAGATCTGCACTTCTTGTTCTTTACTAAGCAGAATACAGCTGAAAATTGGAATCTGTGACTTTGGAATGTGGGAAGTAACTTGTGATGGTGCTACATGTTACCACTGGGTGGCAGTGTCCAATTTAAAATAAATTGGTCTGTCTAGAAGAGTATCTCCAATAGTAGCAACCAAACTTTTTGGCAAATGTACCAGAGTCAAGTCATGTTTGAGACAGTGCCATTTTAATATGCACGCATTCCATAAACAGCATCCTGTACCTCCTTGTACTGAGTTGGGGAATACTTAGCCTAGAACTGTGGTGTGCAGAGAAAAGATGAGTAATAGGCATGTCCTCATTGCCTGTGCCACTTGTGATATCTGTGTCACTTGAATTGCCTAAATAAGGGATGTACAATAGGACATCTTTAGGCCTCCCTAGATTGGCATCATTATACAGTTATTGCTCAGGTTCCATTCTGATATCTGTTAGAGCGAATTTGCATCTTCAAGGCAAAAAAGCAAGACAAGTTACAATGGCAACTTCTCACTGTCTGATAGTGCTTCCTCTGCTGTTTGATTGCCCCATAAAACATAGTAATGTGAGTGACAGGTTCATCTAAAAACTGACAGGCAACGAGTGATGCACTCCCCCTCCCATGTCTCTCCTATTTGGGAAATATTTAGAAACCTGCAAGGCTGTATCTGCACTAGCAGGAATGATCACAACCCCAAACTACTTGAATATTCTCAAATGGAACAAATGAGAGGAGATTTGTGAAGGGAACTCCATTGGTTGGCCCATTCTGGAAGCTGTACTTTCAGGTAGTTTCTTGGGTTATGCTAGCAACTGATACTTTCCCTTTGCACTAGCAGTCATTCCTTCTAGTGCAGTGTGTTCAGAGCCACAGTGTGCTGGTACTGGGTACTGCCCATAATTTTAGGGTGACAACTAACTCTTAGAAAAAGAGCATTTCCTGCTGTAAAAATCCACCCTGGGTGCTCTTGAACAGCCTTTACATTAGATAAAACAACAGAAACCAAGAAGGCAACCTTCTTACACCACAGCAATGACTCACCATTTATTTATAAATTTTGCACTTTTCCTTTTCACATTTCATTTTTATGTAGACTCCGTTTTCCCTCTCCTCAGCATTAGAATTCCTGCATGTCCTGTTTTTGTTAAATAGCAAACAGGTGGCCCTCTCACAGCATTTTCTCTCATCAGGAAAATCTGCTCGCCATATTAAGTCACTAAGTCTAAATGTAGGGTATTAGGTGATCACTAGATCAAAACAATATACAAACTAAAAAAGAAAACTCAGATTTCACCCCAACATGTTCATTTGACAGCTTTTCATATGACGAGAAAATGTGGATCAAACAAATATTCACTCATACCATCTGGATAAACCTTGACCTGGCATCTAGAAGCGCAATAAAATATGAGCAGAAGATTACCTTGTGCTCTTGTGACTTTCAATTACCTTGAACTTGGAATTAAGATAACCTCTGAGAAATCACTTCTGATCCTTATGGAAAAAATATGTAGCAGGATGGTCATAGCCCTGTATGAAGCAGTCCAATAGGTACATCCGATAGTATATATGTACTTTAGAGCCAAATTATTTCATGATAAACCAGTGCAGACAGAAGTCCTTAGAACAGTTTGAGTTTTGTTTAGTATACTTCATAGAAGCCATTTATTTACAGATTTGGGAGAAAGGATTGCGAATAGCAATTCCAGACTATGAACTGACCAAAGTAACACCACATCTGTCAACTTTAATCCTAACTGGTAAAATGAAAGTGCACAAGAACACACCTTCGAACGCATTCTGGCAAAGGTGCTAAAGATGCTTCTAATATATTGGGTGTTTTTGCTTTCTCTTCCATTCCTATCAAGGCTTCCTGATAATAAGGTCAGAGAAGTGGACGGAGACTGTGAGACGGAACACAGAGACTCAGGACCAAATGATGATGAAAGCCTTGAGCACCCTGAGGTATCGTGGATGCTAACAGACTGGGTATTCATTTGGGAAGGAACTGATGTGTTAAGTCAGCTATATCGCTCCCTCCAATCAAAACGTCTTGGATTTTCTCTGACTTTGAATTTCCATTATCGGTTCCTTCCTCTTGTACTCTTATGACAAGCTGAACAAATAAATGGTCCTTCATCCTAGGCAGAATCTGCCTCTGGAGACTGAAAGCTGAGATCTGTTCAGTCAATTGCCCACACAACTTCATCCCTCCCAAGGCCCCAACCCAGTCAAGCTTCCCAGTGTAATACTCCCTTCACTGTAGCCCTTTTTCTTTCAAATTTGATGGATATGGAGTGAGTTTACATCTTCTGTAACACCCCTTAGCACTAGTTATGACAGCAAAATCCCTAACTGGGATGTAAACCATCTCCCAGCATATCATGAAAGCAAAGGGATGCCCAACTGATTCTGCTACAAAAATATACCTAACTTCCGAATGAGCAGAAGCTGACAGAAAGGGAGGGAAAGTCAAGCTGACCCTTCCTTGCACAGGAAAAAAACATGTCTGGAATTTAGCAAAGCATCTGAATGGGCCTAGCTTATTACCTAGTGTATGTATGCCTGAATAATGCACCATCCCTCCTCTGTCTCTTTTTCATTTTAAAAGTGGGACTGTCCAAGTATTAAGGCATCTTTCATGCCAGAAGAATGTAATGCCTGTTTGTTCTGGACAGGGCCAGCCCCACTATGTGGCTCAGTGAGCACAAGAGTCTCAGGTGGCAGATGGGGAGGGGGGCATGATGAAAAAGCTCGCCTCCTGTCCCCTATCCAATCCCCATGGCTGCATTCCTGCTTTGGAACTGACTCTGAGTTTGTTCCTGAGCACTAGCAACAGTCTGCCGCTGTTTTAAATTCCCCCAGCTCGCATTCTGGGGAGCTTCAAATGGTGGCTGCCTGCTAAGGATGCAGCTCTTACTTGAGCATGCTGCCACAGCCGGCCAGCGGTGCTGGAGGGAGGATGCAATGTGAGTCATTGAGGTAGCAGCAGCAATACCTGGATGGGGCTGAAGCTTCCTCTCTCCTGAGATGCTTCTGCCTGGGCCAGTTAAACTGCTCCAGCAGGAGAAGGGTGTGAAGAACAGGAAGTGACAGGCAGGTGGAGGCAATGGGGACCGTGCGGTTGGGGAGATGCCTTTTATTCGCCCAGCTTTGGCAGTGACGCAGCTAAGTTGCCCCTGGCTCTGGTGTGGCGTGAGTGAGTAGGGATATGCCGTTTATTCAGGTGCTGTAACACAGCAGCAGCACCAGAGACTGGAGACCGAATGCTAGAAACGAATAATCCTGTACTTGGACAAAGGTGGTTTTGCATTTGTTGTGGTTCCATGCTGTCAAGTTGTGTCTGCTTATGGTGATCCTATGAATGAATGCCCTCCATAATGTCCTGGGTTTGACAGCCTTGATCCACTCTTGTAAAGAGTTTCGTATTACCTAGTTCTCAAAAATCAGCAGCAAAGAGTCCCGAATATGTTAAAAGTGAATGCACTTACTGTGGCATAAGCTTTTGTCAGCTAGAGTCAGATGCCTAAAGAAGTTGATTCCCATCCATGCCATAACAAATGTGCTAGTCTTTGAAGTGCTACAGGAATCCATTGTTTTTGCTGCAACACCACCTGCAAGTTTTCTTGAAAGAATGATAAAATCTATAGAGGTTTATTGTGCAGTTTCACCATGAGTGGGTAGACACAACACAACAAGTCATGGTGATTTCTTGCACAGGATAGTCTTTTGTGTTGTCTGAACTCTCTCGTGGTATTTCAGCATGGTATGTTTGGTTTTTAGAAATCACGACAAGAAAGAATGGTCTGCTTAGGATTTCCTTGCTTCACCATGGTTGCTCTGGTTGCCCAAACCGGGCATTGTGGTTTCCATGGTCCAAGTATGCAGTTACCATCGAGTTCCCTGGAAAGAGTGGCAGCTTTTGCAGGAGCTGGTCCAGCCATCCAGCAAGGGATTGAATTTCAGGCATGGTGACTGATGGGATATATGCTAACAGCAAGAAGACTGAGCAGGAAGGGTGGAAATGACACTAGCATAGAAACCACATAATTGTCTGTCAGACACATCCAGGCTAAAAAAACCCCATGTGTCAAGAAACTATGGACTGCTTGTTGTGACATGTGAACCCAGCCCATGAGTTGCCTCTTTTGTTTTTCTTTTTTCCCTGAAAGAGGCACTTGGCTTTTAATGGGTATACAACAGGCAGAAATTCAACATTTGCACCTTCCACTGCTTCCTTCAAATTTCTGCATGCAACGTAACTCTTAAGGGCAAAGAGTCAGTGTTAGGGGGCCTTTGACAAGTACCTTTGTTCATCTTACAGCTGTTACTATGTGTATATATAGCATAATCACTTGTTATGAGTTAATCATGTTGTGAGCCACCCAGACAGCTTATGGCTAATGGAATGGCATATGAACTAAACAAATAAATAATAAAATACGGCAACCTCATGCACAGATGGCAAACTGAGTCCCTGAAAAAGCTCATGGCTTGATCTTCACAAATGCTGAATTCGCTGGGGCAATGAACTAGATGAAAGAATATCTAGTGTTTCCTCTGCTTATTAAGCAGTGGATTATTATTATTATTATTATTATTACTTAAAATATTTCTATCCCGTCCTTCATGACAGCGTCTCAGGATGGCTTACAATGGATAAATGGATCATTGCATTACTTGTCTGGGGTCAGCAGAGAGAAGAGGTAAAGTAAATGGCCAGTGTGGTGCAGCGGCTGAGGTGCGAAAACCCAGCTTTAAATCTCTGCTGAGACATAAGGCTGCTTGGGTAGGCTTGAGTTTAGCTTGCATCAGCACGTGGCAGGCTGCTGCAGCTGCCAGGGTCCACCACTGAGCCCTCTAAAACCATGCCCGCCCCCACTGATCAATGTCAGGTGTCTACAGCTGGGAATCGCCATTTTAATTTCCCACAATGCCCCAGACAAATACTGTGTTGGGCATATGGCGGCACTCAGCCACCCAGTACAGAATGGATTATTACTACTGCTGCTCAGTTTACCAGCAGAGGATAAGCCCACTCTGGGCTAGATTATCTCTGCCCCAGCTTCTCTTCAGGGTAGCTGTGTAAATGCAAAGGAGGAAGGTGGAGTATCAATACAGATAATGACATTGTCCCATATGTAATTGCAACATTTTGTTTCTTCTCTCCTTGTTAGAATGCATACTGAGAAAACACTGTTGGAATCAACATGACTCAACCAACTGTGCCGTTCCTTCCTTTGCTTACTGGAAGATGGTCTGCTGTGAATTCTTACATGTATCTACCTGACTCTTTCCAGCTGTTTAATTGTTTTTGTAGGAGTTTCTTCCATTCTTCGTTTAACAAGCATATAACCTTTCCTCACTTTCACCTGTTCTCTTAGGAATAACCCTTAGTATAACCCCAGTATATATTTCAATTTGATGAATTACTCTATTTCCCTTTCCCCACTGTTGTCTCTTTCCCCCACTCCTCATTAAATGAAGTTTTGCAATGAATTTGTATCCTTTCTGCTCCTTAATATGTATTTCCAATCGTCATACAACAACAAAAAAGTTGTGTAAGGTCTCATTGATCACAAAGCAGCAAAATTATTCCATGTTTAGGATATTGACATTCTGACAAACCAAGCCTAAACAGGTGGAATAAAACATTTCTGTTCCTTTCTTATTTTCATTCCTTTGTCTCCTTTTTTCCAAACCCTCCTATATTAAGGATAAAATAGGTTTTGGATGACAAAAAAATATTTGTCCTGAGTGGTAGGGAGTCTGAGATTCCACAACACTATTGTCATAGATACAGATCAATCAGACAGTCACTGTTTAGGTATTCCTTTGTTACCTAACATGCCTTGGTCTTAGAGCTACAATGAAATTTCAGCTTTAAAAATCCATTATATTCGATATTGGTCAATGTTGATTTTGACCTTGACATTTAATAGAATCTTAGTGCCTTAGAGTGTAATCCTATGGAAATTTAGATAGGAATTGCAGGCCTTTTCTGTCTAATCTTGCATAGGATTGTGTGGCTTCTTGGATGCCATAGTTTTCAGCTGTTTTCAATTTACAGTATCAAACGCTGTAAACTGTTAACGCTGTAAACTGTTAACTGGCAAGCATAAAATAACAAAGTCACTGAAAACTATCATGGAATCCTGCTATCAGATCCAGAAAGAGACAAAAGTATTGATGCAAAGATTTGGACATTCAGCACACAGTTGGCACTAAATATGTAGGAAAGGATTTGGAAGACCATTGGGGAAAGAGTACATCTATTTCAGCTTTCCTAATTCCTCAGCCCCATTCTTTTATTGAAATATTTTTGATCAGACAGTTGAAACCATCTGCTTACATTATCTGTTATTCACCTCCGACTAGCATGCTGCTTTTCAGGATGATGGAGATTCAAGCCATGACACTTGATGTCCTTTTTCTAACTGTACTGTGGATAAGGACCAGGAAATGGATCTTGTAACTTGCTAGGTAACTTCAGCCATTGGTTATCTAGAAACTCTGGGTCAGCCCCAGTTGTTTAATCCATAGGTCATGAGAGTTAATCCAGAACAGTTCTGGCACCTAAAGTCTCTGCTAATCTGGGAATTCTATGAAAGGAAACACACACCCTGTCAACCTGCCACAAGACAAAGCCTTCAACATGCATGGTGTCTCCCAGGAGATTTCTGTATAGATCAGTTGCTATTTGTGTACAGATCCCCTTAATTACTTTTCAAGTTAGTCTGGAGCTGTTCTGCTTCTGGCCTTGCAGCACAGGTCTGGCTGGGATCCAGAACATTAAGGGCAATGGATCTAGATTTCACAACACCTCATTTTTCCTAGGCTTATAATCTTCTGTACTTGGGTGAAAGATACTTGGCTCTTACTATATAGAGGTAGGTATTGTTCCTCATGGCTTCTGCAGCTGTTAAAAATGTGTTGATTTGACAGTTACATCATATCCTATTTCCCAAATAATGGTGAGACCCGGTTATTAAAGAGCAATTCATTTGGCTCTTCTGGCTTGTTACAAGCAAAGCTTGTGGTGCTCGTGAAAGTGACCAGTTCATGGTGTAGCAGTTACTTGTTTGAGTTTTCACAAGCATCACCATGGATCATTACCATGCTACCTCACTGCATCCTCATAGGATTTCTGGAACTGGAAAGAATAAATTAATAGCAAAAGTCCTACTCTGTGCTCATGTTGAAGCAAGCAGACAGAAGTTTCACCATGAATTTAACAATCAGCATGAGCTCAGCATTCTAGTTTTTAAATTTTTTGATGCAATACAAAAGCAATGAAACCACACCCTAAGGAACAAAGCAGAGAGAAAAATAAATTACAATGCTTGAGTTATATTTAAGAAATGAAAAAGATACATAGCATTGGTTACGTATATATCCCTATATATATATTTGTAGATAATAGAACATAATATATTATTAAAAAGAGTAATGCATATATTTGACAAGCATCCCAAATATCCATATATTTCTCAATTTGTAGGCCACCCATTAAAAATGAAAGTAGCATTAAATTCTTCACACATTGCATTATTATAGGCAGCTGTTTACCCTTCCAATGTCATGGCATTCTTTTAACAGTCAAAAGGGCACAGAAAATGCATTTGCTCTGACCTTGTCTTAGATTCTAAGATATGAGCAGGTAATTCAAAAGAACATGTAAATGTTAAAATATTAAAGAACTTTCCATCACAAGATTTATCTGAATAATTTCCTCCTGTTCAAAGGAAGCTTCCATCAGGTATTGCCAAAACATATGGAGAAGAGAAGCATTAGCAGCATTGCACTGCTGGCCAATTTAATTAAATCTTTTTGAGATTTTGTGGGATTCAATATACTCAAAACATTAATTATTGCTGCATTGAGCATAACCTGAGAGCAATATTCCCTTGTGAAATAGCACTCCATGATAATGAAGTACTCTGTTAGTCGGACAATATAGGGTATTCCAGTTTGTTGTTCTATTTTTCTTGAGATCCTTTTAACCCTATTTATTCACCAATATCAAATATTTATAAGCATAAATTGAAGACCAATGTAATTTTTCAGCCTAAGCCAGTAAGTCCAATAACACAGACAACTCTAAAATTGTGAAAGGAGCAGGACCAGACCTAGATTCTAGCAAGTGTTTCAGTTACATGTATTGCCATGCAGCCATAACTGACAGTTTATATTTAGTCCAAAAAATTGGCAAACAATTACTATCAGTGCTGACAATTGCCACTCTTGCCAGGCTTGCCCAAGTGGTCAGTGTCACCTACGTACATCCTGCTGGTTCGTTTGGATCAATATCAATCAGTGTGGAGAGGCCTGATGATGTTAGCAAAACGATCTATTTGTCGGAAGCATCTAAAAATCTCAGTGTTGGCACTCACGTAATTAATTTCTCATTGCTGTTTTCTGCTGCCAGACGTAACACATTCTGAAAACAGTGAAATGCCGATGCGCACGTTATTTCTGTTTCCACTTTCTTCCAGCTCATGTGCAAAGAGGGACTGTGTACAGCTCTCCCTTGATAAGAAGTGTACATCCCCATTGCATGTAGAACCCACGCCCTTTGCCATGATGAGTTGCGTAAGATCTCCCTTTGCAAGGGCAAAATGTGGAAGTGAGAGCCACTCTTGTATCCCCCATTTCCCACTTCTCGGAATATATGAAGCCTCAATCACTAAATCTGGGGCTTAATAGAGTATCTCTTACTCAATTAAGAGAATTTGGAGTGGGCTGGAACAGGGAGAGATGTTCCAATGAGACATTAATCTGCCTTACTCAAGAAATATCTGCGGCAATTTAACAGGCACTAGAGTGTTTCAAACCCACAATGAAATGCTAATTGGTGTACAAATCTCCATTCTGAAAGTGACAAGAAAATCTTGGATTACTTAGTCTCTGTCAGGTACAGTCAATCAAGTATACCTCCCATACTCCGTTGGCCCCTTCTCATAAATAACCCTAAAATATCCACTGAATGCTGCTTACAGATGTGCATCCAGAAGAATGAACTGATTCTAATGCACCAGTTGCTGTTTTGTGGGGTTATGTCAAAATGTGATCCTGGGAGTATCAAAGTTGCTGGAATCAGAAAGTTCCAACAGTCAAGTTTTGTATATCCACAGTTGATGTTGGGTTTCCAAGAAGCTCAGCTCTAATTTATATACTAACATAATGTTTTCATGTCCAGAACTTCATGCCTTGAGTGGGGATGCTGAACCTCAGGTCAAATCCAGTCCTATTGGTGTGCCAATCTATCCTTCCAGAGTCCTAGAAGGCTGAAATGCTTCTTCAGAGTGACTGGCAGGAAAAACCTTGCGGTAAAATGTCAGCATTTTGGCTCCACCCCTTTTGCCTTTAGCCCCACCCAGCCCTGGAATGTAGATCTTCCTCCACCCTGAGAGCTTCTCCTACATGTAATTCAGTCCTAAGGCTGATGGAGGCTCCACGAACCTGTGCTAGAGGCATCTGAAAATGTCATGATGTGAATTCCATAGCAGCTCTGGGATCTATTAAATGATCCCAGGCTATCCGTGTGTGGCATGTTTTACAGTGTGATGTTAGATCTTCCATCATCCCCAGGCCTCCATATCCCAAAATGACACTTCAGGCTGCAAGTCTGCGAAATCTGTTTGAAAATTCTAGTCAGGCTGCACTGAATAGGAATAATATTGCTTACAAAGTACTCTTAGATCAGCTGGGATGAAAGGTACTATATGAAATATAACATAATCTAGTTTCTTCAGTACCATTTTTTAAAAAATAAAATGTTGTGATCTTGTAAATAACATTCACTCTATTTACATTTTTATAGGCTGTAAAGTAAAAATGGCTATTTGTGTTTAGACGTCTCTTTTATGGTTTACAGCTTCATCAAGACTTTCAGATCAATTTGCTGACAAGAGAATTACCAAACTTTGAATGCTTCACCAGAACCCATAATCCATTGCAGGCAACTATGGAGGCTGAGTGACTCAGCAGATATACGGAAATGGCAACGTCCAGTTTCTGTTTACACAACCAGATGGACTGCGTTAACAATTGTCTCTTGCAGTAAGGTCAGATTTCAGACCAAGCCTAGTTGACTCACCTACAGTAAGTATTTCTAATAGTCAGAACACTAATGGAGTTTCCCGTTGTCCCTCGCAAGATGTAAGAGGCAGGATCCTCTGTTAGAAAATATACACACCGCATTCCTTCAAGTTTCTTTGTCCAAAGCAATCCCGATATTGCTTCCTGAATCATTTTGTTTTGCGGAAGAGAGAACTGGAAGCCAAGGTGTTGTTCTATGTACAA